GGTTTCGAAGTGATTGTGAGCGAAATTGCGAGGGACCTGTCTGACATTACATCACCAAATACGCTATTGACGTGGTGGGAAGGTCGATCTGATCGGCCCGTATCAGCACCGAATGTGACATTTAATTGGCCGAGATAATTACTGAAGGTGCGTCAACTGTACAGTAAACATGTGGCACAGGAGGTCTATGATTAGATGTACTGAGGCTAGGCTACGGGTTGAATAGCATAATTTATGCATCTCTCACAGACTATTCACTAATTTATGGTCGTTTTATCCTTATTGATATTTCGGCTACTTCTCTCAAGACATCGCAGCTTGCCCTCTAATCAATCATCGTCAAGACCAGCAAGGAAATCAGCCGACGGTACAAAGAATGTCGAGCCTGTAACTGCCTTTGAATAGTTGAGAATGCGATCATGCATCCCAGGCGGAACACCGACAAACATGCGCTCGAGCATCTTCTCAATGACCCAAAGTTTCTTCGAGTAACCGATAAAATATGTGCCAAACTCACCCTGGGCCGGAGATCCGAAGGGCATATTATCACGTAGAATATCATGCTCACTTCCTCCCTCGTCTTCAATCGTAGCAAGACTCTTGTGGGACTGCTGTTGCCCTTCGTCCGCATCATCCAGCTCGATGTTATCCAGCTTCGTGCGTCCTATGATGGCTTCTTGCTGTTCCGTCTTGAGAGTCTTCCATTCTTTGAGATCGTGAAGATATTTCTGCACCACGACATAACTGCCTCCCACAGCAGTCGGGTCGTCTTGTGCAGTGATAAGCACCGAGTCCTTCACATCCGGACCGACAGGGTTGGCAGTTCCGTCGACAAACCCAAGGACATCGCGCGTATCAAAATACCTAAAACCGACTGTCTCATCTTCAAGCTTGACGGCATCACCCAGTCTGTCCATGAGTTGTCTCTCGAATTCAAATGCCATATCTCTTCTCTCGGAGCGAATATGAAAGAAGATATCACCTGGCGTTGACACAGCAGTATGCTTTGATCCCTTGAACTCTTTGAAGGGATGTAGCTCGTTAGGCCGAGGGAGTTTGGTCAATCGGTCCCATGCCGAGCTTCCAATGCCAACAGTACATGAGAGATTAGCGGATTGGTGGCGAATTGATATGTTCTTGGTAATGTCTGCAATGCTAGACAACGTTGATCGGATTGTCTTGCTGGCATCCGGGTTGTCTGTTGCCGAGAGAACGAGGAATGTCGCCGACTGCGACAGGGGAGATTCCACCGCCTGAGGGTTCATTTTGAAACCGGATCGAACGGAACTTGACGAGAAGCGTCTTGGCTTACAAAAGGAGGAGTTTGTAACTTTTAGGCAGTGGATTGATGTAATACGTGAGACAGAAGGGCCCAATGGTGCCTGATACGTGATGAAGACGCGACAAGACAGCATAGCTTATCTTGAGAAGCTCAAACAGCGCCTACGATAAACTGCTCACGGATGTCAGCGCCAAATGCGACATTGGCTGGCTCGTATAGCCTCTAAGTGCATATTCAAGGATCACTAGACGACTTTCGCTGACATGAGCTTTGTAAGTCTTCAGTAAATGCAAGATAACTTAAACCTTATTGGAGGTATCGGCGTAATCATGACGCAGAGGGCTTACTTATACTGATTGCGGAATGAGTAATTGGCCAATGATGAGGTTCGCAAAATAATCAACACTGGCGGGGTTGTTCTCACGTTTGCACTTATCGATAAGACTGCCTGTTTGTGGCCTAACAGATAAGTGCTGTTTTAAGCCTTGATAAAGCTGGACCAGTTAGTGTAGAATCACAGCCGCTTTCGCTGTATCATGAACCAGTAGTGTTCTGGGAGCATTCACAATACCATGCCGTGAAGGGGAGGATAATTTGATATTTGCCAGTCCGTTGGCAATTGCGTGCGGGCTTGAGAGATTATAGGTGACAGTAAGCGAGCAATACGCTGAACCAAAGTAGAAATGACAATTCAATCTTGTGATCTCAATGTTCAGAAATGGTTACATGGACTATGAATAAGGTCACGTCAGCTTTTAACGTAAGATAAATTGTTCAACTTAATCATTACCAGTCTTGGAAATTATTTATTAATTGTATTGGATTGCAACTCTGACAATGGATGCTGGCTGTATAATAAATCATTGACCTACCCTGGATATCTAAATCTCTTCACAGCCCGCTCTAGCCTTGTTTGGACCAGAGTGAATTGCTTCTACTGGTAATACCTGTAAGCATAGCATCTGGTTGAATCTTTGAGACAAACTGCTATGTTTCTTCGTTTCTTATTAACAACTCAACAGTTTCGCAGGTGATTACCCACGCCATTCATCGCGGAACTTCACATGTCGCATGAACTACTCTTCAGACCGTAGACCTGGCATCACAACCATACGAGGATATTCACGGCGAAACTTCCCCATGAAAGTTGTTTACCCTGTAAGCGTCGTATAGTGATGAAAATGCCGTGCTACAAGGATCTAGCGAGGTGAGGCGTCGACAGAAATTAATCAATCTGACAAAGCAATAGTCGCAAGCCATGGCCTCGTTAGGAAGGCAGCTGATGTGGCGGTTTCAGAGGAATACGGGAAGTTTAAGATTGCTGGTTCGTGCGCAGAAAAGCCCAGACTCGTCCATTATTTCTGTCATTAGTGCATACGGGCAGCGCTTTGGCAGCCTTTTAGCTTTGGGTCTTCTTTCGTGTGACCCAAGATACGATACGATATGATAAGATAGAATGTCTGAAAATATCTTCAAAGAACCGTCTCTTTGAATGAGTCGCTGCTTGTTTCATCAAAGTCGGTCTGCTTACGCGTAGCCCACTTGGCATTCCCCGCTCGCCAAGTTCTTGCACAGCACAGCGAAGCAAGGCACAGCACACAGTGCAGCATGCAGGATGGAAACAAAGCCACTCGATCAGAGGCCAGAGGGATAAACAATCGTGGCTCGCAGAGGAATCAGTGGATGAGGGAGCTGAAACCTCATTGTTACAGTGAAATTTGACAAGCCACGATCCCAGCTTCCGGTTCCAAGGCTCGGAAATGATCAAATATCAATGCGAGACGAATCGTAGTCATCCAGAATCCTATCGGAAATAAGCCTTCACAGGACCCCTGTGACTACAGGGCAGAATTTCTGAACACGGACCGGCCATGAAATGCACGTCCATCCAAAGCGGATCATCTGGGCAGATGCAACCTCAAGTGCCAGTGCCAGCTTCCGATCATCAGGAACGTTCTTTAGCACCGGCAGACGAGAAATTTCCTTTCGCCGATCACTGCAGTCACTCACTGACCTTCTGTGAGACCTGCGCGAAAAACGTCGGCACACGAGGCGAGGCGTGCATTTGCTATGATCGACCGCCTGGCGTACGGTGAGAAACAAAGGGCGCTTGCAGATGATTGGGCTCTCGTCAGGGAGAAGCGCTGTGGCGTTGTTTCGATGACGGTCTGCACCCGCGAGGTCCGACAAAGAAGACTCAAAACACCGATGGCTGTTTCAACAAAACATGCTCAACAGCTAGAGGGATCCATTGTATGAGGAGTTTGTTGTTCTCGTTGAAACCCCCCCTTTGCTCTTTTGCTGGTCTTGGGCCACGTTCGATGACATTCTACTGCGCGGATAGTGGCATGTATTGCAAGTTTGGCGGAGTGCCAGCCATCGTGGACCAATGATATAGTGCATCTGTCCCTTGCAGTAGCTGCAGTTAGCCTGTTACAGAGGCAGCAAAACAAACGAGTCAAGAAAAAGCTAGCAAACTTTTTTACCTTGACAAAACTCGACCGGTCGTCTCGGCCCCCTTTCTCACTTGCATATGGAAGGAAGGAGAATAATAACGTAAGTAAATGAGTGACTGAGGGGAATTTGTTGGGCTTTGGCAGGGTGTTTTGCATCACTGCCAATTTTCAAGGCTGATTTCGATCAATCTTGAAAAACATCCTGGCCCTGGTCGGCAGACCCCTGTACTCGGGGATCACATTACGAACTTGTAACTTTATTTTATATTGGGAGGCGTCGCCCGTGATTAGAGAAAACCTGGGGGGGATGAGGATAGTCCATGTCTGTGCGACGAGACTGGACGACACCAAATGCCCAGCTGTCTTAGATGCGCTTTGTGCACCTTGACGCTCATCATCATCACAAAGAATGCACTAAAGCGCTGCACGTACCGTTCGTATTCCCCCGTCCCATCCCATCCCCCGCGGTGAAGGGCGAATGGTAGTTTTTGCCGCCCTCGCCTAGTGGCGTCAAAATACCGCGCCGGCATGTTCAGTCCCTGGTCCAAGAACAAGCCCCGGCGGCATGTCATCTCGTCTCGTTGCTGGCTGATTGCCGCGTCAAGGCGAAACACGCAGGCAAGATCTGGGTAAGGATTTAATATTGCAGGACTGTTATGAGGGGTTTCAGTGTGGCATCCCTCCCCACACTCAACCCGAGCTTCCCATCCGGAGACTCGGGTGTCAGCTGCGAGACCTCGTATTGATTGGTTCGGCAAGCTGAGGCCATCAACGGTTTTCTTTTTACCCCTGGTCTAGTCTAGCTAGTTTAGTCCGTTTACCCCTGGATCAAGCAGCCCATCGGAGCATCATCCCTTTGAAACACAGAGCTCCGCTCTTTCAATCAATTCGATGTTGTTCGTTGTCCAGGGCCCAAGGCCCAGGCTTGCACATCGAATTTCGTTTTTCACATGGCACCACACCAACTGTCGGGATCATTGACATGTCTCATCCAATGGGATCATCACACTGGCTGATTGCTGTACAACTATATTATAACCTTGATTCCCGTCCCCCCATCTCCTGTTTCTTTTCCTCTCCAGACTCATTCAGTCTTGTCACTCATTCCTTTAACAGGCAAACCACTCATTCATCCTTGAAGGATCATTCTACATTCTTTCACTCCTTAACACCTTCTTTTTAAAGCAACTCGAACAATTTTTACAGCCCAGTCCCGGTGACGTTAACCAACAACAACAACAACAACAAAACTCTCAATCAAGATGCATTTCTCAAGCTTCATCGTTTCCATGGTGGCCGCTGGCGCCATGGCCGCTCCCCACGGCAGCTGGGGCAACTCCAACAAGCACTACAAGGTCGTTACCGAGTATGAGTACGTCACTCACTACGTGACCGCTGGAGGCAACGCTCCCCAGGCCACCTACGCTCCCGAGCAGCCCGCCGCCCCCGTCCAGGAGGAGCAGCCCGCTCCCGTCGTCGTCGTCAAGAAGCCCAAGCAGAACCCTGCTCCCCAGCCCACCTACGTCGCTGCCCCCGAGCCCGAGGAGGAGGAGCCCGTCACCACTCAGGAGGAAGCCCCTGCTGCCACTCAGCCCAGCTCCGACTCTGGCTCCGGATCTTCCAACCTCGACGCTGATCAGCAGAAGGCTCTCGACCTCCACAACGAGGCCCGCAAGGCTGTCGGTAACGAGCCTCTCTCTTGGGACGACTCTCTTGCCTCCGGTGCCCAGGAGTGGGCCGACCACCTTGCTCAGCTCGGCAGCCTCCAGCACTCTGGGGGTGACGATGGCGAGAATCTCTACATGGGCAGCGGCTCCAACCCCTACGCTTCTGCTGTTGAGGCTTTCCTGAGCGAGAAGAGCCAGTACAACGGCGAGGCCATCTCCGGCTCCAACTACATGTCCTTCGGCCACTACACCCAGTGCGTCTGGAAGACCACCACCAAGGTCGGTATGGCCGTCGCCAAGGACAGCTCCGGTGCCTCTTGGGTTGTCGCCCGTTACCAGAAGCCCGGTAACATGTAAGTTCCCATAACGCTCTGCCATTGATGTAACACTCACTAATCATGATACAGGATCGGTGACAAGCCTTACTAAATGTCAATACCGTTATGGACGGATGCTTTAGGGTCGGGATAGCTGGCAGCGATCTTTTGATGTATCTTTTTCACTTCAAGTTATGAGAGCGACTCACCAGGGCTATGAACTCACATTTCACTTCTTGAATAAACCATTCGCGTTTTCTTATGCGGATTATTTGGTTTACTGACAATATGTATATACTTGTCTCACGCAATCACGACCTTTGCATTCACGTTCATGATAAACTTTGTCTCCGCCGATGCTTCTTGGTGATGTGTTGAGTGAATGAATGAAGGAGTATTGATGTTCCACGAAAGAGCACGGGGACATTTGCTGTAACAGCGACGTAAAGTAGTGCTTGTGCAATACTGTAACATGAGCCTTATCAGCCGACACTTATGTATGGCAGGTACAAGTGCGATGTAGGATCATTGGCCTTCATTTCACAATTTTCTTACAGTGAAGGAGTCTCAAGTATCATTTCAAAAACTCATAACAATATTCGTTCTTCCAGTCCATATAACTCATGAATCATGTCACAATCCCACAGTGCTTGGTTCCCAGTATCGTCTTGAAAATTGTCCCCATGGAAGGTTCGTCCCAGTCTGTTCAACGCCAGCTTTGGTCAACAGCACCAGAAAAGCAGAAGTTCTACAAGATTCCGGCATAATAAACCATCATTTCAGACACAAAATGATACTAATCTGAGTTCTCGTTCTACTTTCTCCAAGTTCCGCGACTGCCATTCGTCATCCGAGGCAAGCACGAATTTCAAACGACGACATAGCATCTCCCGCCTTGATGCGTCACTAAACACTAAACACTAAACACTAAACAAGGCACAGACTCACTGGCCGATCGATGCCTTCTTATGGAAAATTGATTTGCGCTGACCAGCCTCGAAAACCAATACCCTATGACAGTTACTTCTTTGGACAACCTTGTCACCATGAATCAGCCTTCAATACGTCGGCGGATAACATCAAACAGTGTCACAGCGAGATGGAACGAATCGTCATCAAATCATGGCATAATCATTAAAACTTTTTGGGCATCTACCCTTTATGTCTATCTGAGGTGTGCCTTCTAGAACGGTATACAAACCCGCGTCTATCCCTAGCCCACGATCCCAAAGTCATTCATTAACCGATCATCATCATCGCTTCGCTGTAATTTTCCCTGCCCAGAACAAGTAGATAGGTAACGCCGCCGATATCCCTCAGTTGACATACTTGGGGATGGTCTCCATCACACCATCCTTGGTGATGAGCTCCATGGCCTTGGTCACCTCGTCCAGGAAGCGCTGGTCGCCTCGCAAATCGTCACCGAACAGCTCTCGGACGCTGAGAATAGAGCGGGGATCCTTGCCGCCCTCCTTGGCCAGAGCTTGAAGCTTCTCGCGCATAGGATCGTCAACCTCGAAGGTGTTGCCCTTGTCATCGACTCCGTTGATGTAGATGAACCAGCCAGCAGCGACGAAACACAAGCGGCGGAAGGGGCCAGTAACCCAAATGTTCTCGGCGATGGAGGGCATGATGAACTGGGGGATCTTGCCGGATGCGTTGAGAGCGACACGGGGAATCTGATCCATGATGGTGGGGTTGGAGAATCGCTCCATGAGGGTGTTGCAGTACTGATCGATGTCGACGCCTGGAATCTCGGGGAGAAGAGGCTTGACCTCCTCCTGCATCATCTGCCAGACGAATTTGCGGTAGATGGGGTGCTCCATAACCTCGTGAACGTACTTGAAGCCAGCAAGCTGTCCGGGGTAAGCCATGGCGGAGTGACTCGCGTTGAGGAGACGGAGCTTGTGCTTCTCGAACTGCTCGACGTCGTGCACGTCATGGACAACCTGGACACCGACCTTCTCGAATGGAGGGCGGCCATCCGCGAACTTGTCCTCAACGACCCACTGCATGAAAGGCTCAGTGACAACGGGCCAAGCATCCTCGATACCGAAGTTCTCAGCGAGCGACTTGATGTCGTTCTCAGAGGTGCTGGGGGTGATGCGATCAACCATGGCGTTGGGGAAAGCACCCTCCTCGTCGATCCACTTGGCAAGCTCAGGGTTGCGGAGCTTGGCGAAAGATGTGAGCATATTGCGGGTGATGGTTCCATTCTTCTGCATGTTATCGCATGACAGGACGGTGAAGGGCTTGCGGCCCTCAGCGTGACGTCTGGCCAGAGCGGCGTAGAGGAAGCCGAAAGTGCTAATGGGGGCGTTGTCGTTCTCGGGCTTGAGATCGTGCTGAATGTCGGGGTGGTCGTCCTTCAATTGATGGGTGTTCTCGTTGTAGTAGTAGCCACTCTCAGTAATAGTGAGAGAAACAATGTGTGTATCGGGATGAGCCATCTTTGCGATGACGGCCTCACGGTCATCGGGGGCGAAAATGAAGGAGTTGATGCTGCCGACGACGTCGGCGAAGCTGCCCTTTGCAGAGCGCTCAATGACTGTGTAGAGGTGGTCTTGGGCGTTGAGGACATCGCGCATGGCGGCATCGTTGGGTCGCAGGCCGATACCGCAGATGGCCCAATCGCGCTCACCGTGCTTCTCGAGCAGATTGTCTACGTAGACGGCCAAATGGGCTCTGTGGAAACCACCGACTCCGACGTGGACAATGCCCTCCTTGAGGGACTTGCGGTCGTAGGAGGGGACCTTGACCTTCTGGTCTCCCTGCTGTGACGCAATAGCGGAGAGGTTGCTGCTGTTGAGCTTTAGGCGTTGTGTCATTTTGGCGGTTGTGATTGTGATTGTGTGTGAAGGAGGAATGAGAGGGAGGAAGATGCGAATGAAGAGGGTATCAAGGTGTGAGGTGATGGTATGAAGAGGAGAGGGTGAATGTGAAGAGGAGGAGAGGGAGATAAAGTTTTGTTGTTATGAGGAATGAGGTCACCGCTCAAATGCAGAAGCTGACCGCCGGGTTTTGTGGTTTCTTCGATAAAAAGATAAGGAGAGGCCGGAATAAATTCGGGCAGCGAAAACTCGAACGTTCCCCCGTGTTCGGTGGACTCTTTGCTCAATCGATTTTGTCCTTTTCTTTTTTTCTGGCGGTGGTGGCTAAAAACTTAGTGGAGTGGGAGCCGTGGATCCGCGGTGAGACCGGCTTTGTTTTGTTGGTGAGGTCAAAGGGCCCCAAGATTATGGGGCCTGTGACGTTAAAGAGCCCCATAGTTTAGCTTTTATCAGCTTATCACATCCACGCTTGATTCAATCCCGAATCTTGCTGCCTGTCATGTCAATTCTTTAGTGGCGAATGATGAAAGAGATTTTCATCATGTTTTCTTTGTTTCGAATTCTGCCCTGATATTGCAACCTCACTGTGCAGCTCTGCACTGCGCTGACACTGCAGACGCCGCAGAATCTGATCAGCACTGTACACGCCGTCATCGGCAGAAAGCCTTGCATCATTGCTGCTTATCAAGACCTCCTATCGTGGAGCGATATCTAAAGCTACAGTGGGTACCTTTCAAACAAGCTCAGGGCTCAGGCCACCTACACCTTGAAGGTCAAGCCAAGGATCGTGGGGTTGAGTTAAGTTCTTTGGGGTAGAGTAAAAAAGTCGACATGTCCAGGTGACTACTTGATCCATGTCACCATGAGCCTCATGGCCGCGGCTCTCAACGCGATAGGTCCCATGACCTGCACTTCCCCCAATCCCGTCCCCTAATGCATGCCGTTGAGCTGAAGAAGCAGGGGTAAGCTGAGGTCCCTGAACCTCAATGAGCGGTCAACTCAGGTACCGTCCCTGTAGGCAGCAGCATAACCAATGCTAGCGCGCGGGATGAAAAGAGCCTCTAGAGAACAGACTTTGTCTCCCCACGGAATGGACAAGATAAAAAAACACTATATTTGGGGGAACCAACACTAATGGAATTGACAGCCAATTAATTCTGGTCCAATTGGTCACTTTCTTACTCCGAACTTCGGATCAGGGTTTTATGCAGTCCGCGCGTCCTCACCTGGATACCGAGGTGAGGTGAGGTGAGGTGAGGTGAGAGGTCAGATCATAACTGAACAACTCACCGTAGCGACAGCGCCCTTCACCACACAACGGCGAACTTGAACTTGCGGTGTCAAGGCATGCTTTTTGCAACCTCGGCACTTCGGGCGCTCCAATACATCCCGTGCCAACTGCATCGCGCGCCAGTTCTTTACAGCCACATCAGACCATTACCGCGAAGATGTGATGAGCAAGATGCCCGTGTCATGAGAGAAGCCGAGCTATGAAACGATGCTTGTTCACTCGAAATGAGCATAGATAATTATGTACTTTGTTACCCTTCTTCAATTGAAACCCTTGGTGCGTACTCGCTTCACACTCAGCTTGCGGCATGGCAATGCAGCTGTGAATCCACGAGAGTATTGAAAGATGCTGGTTGATTGCTCCTTTAGAAGTCACATTGATGTTCTGCGAGGTGTGAGTAAATGCAGATAAGATCCTCGGAGCAGGATGTAGAGAAGGACCAGCAAGTAATTGTTGACCATAAGATAAAGTGTTAGGCATGTCATGAGCAACCTTTCCAAGCTCTGCTAGAGTAACAGAGTCAAGGTTTCATCCGAGATCAACCATCTGTTTTCCGATCCAAAACTATGCCCGGTAAGTCTTGTCTCTTCTCTGCAATATATCTCAGTTGCCATTGAATTGGTAACTGTTCTCAACCATCGAATTTCTCCTATGGTGTTCTCTACAGTTTTGAAAATCAGAGCTCACGATTATCTTACCACAGAGGACAGCTTTGTTTACATCCAAAGGCTGAGTGAACGCGATACTATGTACCTAGCTTGTGTAACTCAGTATACATGAGACCTTGTCGACGAGCTCTCAGGAGACAGAGTTTTCTTGTCAAGGTGAGCGAGTCACCGGAGCAGTAGCAAAAGTCTAGCTGCACATCTGTCAGCAAAACAGCTTGATCCCTACCAGATACCTTTCAATTCTCAGCATTTCTTAACTCCATGTCTTGCCTGCCCGGTCAACTACTGGATGTGAACTGGCCAATGCCTGAATACCTCGTGACAGTCGGCCTACTTGCGGCTGGATTGCAACGGTCCGATGGGCCAACCCGCATTGTATCCCATTCCGCCACTTCTAAGTGGCCGATGGGGAAATGCATGTCTTTGATCGTCCTTCCGCGCAAATCCCGTGTCTCCAGATCTGGCATCCGATTCGCCCCATCTGACTCGGCAATCTCAATCTAGCCAAACATGCAGTGATCTACGACGGGGCTGAAATCCCCGAACTCTATGTATTCAGTCCTGGGATATGTACTGGGCAAGGACTGGTGGTCGTCGCGAGACAATTACCAGAGACTATGTCGTGTGCGACATGTATCTCACAGGCACCACTCGGTAAGATTGCCTCCGCCAAGTACTGCGCTGCCCTCTATCAGACGACTGGCGTCGAGCCTGCTCATACCACCCTCCCTCCATGAAATGCATTGTCTCAAAGCCTGATGGAAAAGATCTCACCGGATCACATATCACCTACATTATCAAGGTTGAGATCGACGACCTCTTCATTGAGCCTAATCCTTTTATTTAATACTGATACAGAGGCCAAAGAAGCTTTCCTCGTGCGTGAGACTAATCTCAAGTCTGAGCTGGCCGAGTGCAAGGCTGCCGCCGCTACCTCAAGCTCAGGATCTTCACATTCGAGCTGCGCTCAGTGCAGTATCTTGGGAAAGAATGATCCTGGCCATTTCTCTCGACGCCTCAAGGCCGATTTGGCCGCTTGCAAGGCCGGATGGGCTGCTGTTGGAGACGGGACAACGTGCCGTTCCTACGCCCATGATGGTGGAAGCCCTGGTACTAGCCTTCTCTACTACAAGCACATTAGAGAGTTGGAACCTGCTGGTAACTTTAAGGTTGAAGGCGCTTGGCGCTCATGGGATAGGGGGTGTTAATAAGGCATCAATCTCTAACGACGCTCCACCATGTAGCTACGGCATCAAGGCCAAGTTACAATGAAGTTCTATGACATGGTTCCGATTCTGCTGCAACTTGGTCGAACTCAGGTAAATGGCATCTGTTCCTGTAATCTTATGATAGGCAAACAATTCAAGAAGTCCACCTTTGCTGATGAAAGCAAGAACACACGCTATCAAATGTGACCTGACCCTTTGGTAAATCGGCACCATGCCCCAGGGAGTAGGAAAACTTAAGACCTAAAAAGAGGATGCCCAAATAAACTTAGCAAAGAGTGCTCTGAGTCTAGGCTAGATTTACCTAATATTCTTCGTTTCAGGTCAAGGTCCTGAGTTTCCTTGCCTCCTTTGGGACATGTCTCATTATCCTGTAATAGTATCAAGCCGTCTTGGCATACTGTATCTTATTACCTTTATATTCGCATGTATTGAACTTGTTCCTACCACGACCCTTCAGAGCCTTCTCTGCTCCTACTACTACCGCCTTTCTTGTCTTCATGAATTACTTCAACCACATTCGAAACGATAATCCCTTTGGACGCGCTATAATCCGTCAAGTCATTCATACGGTGGACTTCTGCCTTGACGATCCGTTCCTCACTGTTATTGAACGACAGATTCGCCGATATGGGGTTCGCGGTCGGTGGTCCTCGTCGGCTTGGGTCGTTGCTTTTGCCGCTACGTCCTCCTCCGCCAATTGTCTGAAACCCGGAAGGATATTGATAGGACGTCTTGTGAGAGGAGCGCAAGACACTTCCGAAGATTGGCGTGAGCCAGACCCTGAAGAGCGGAAAGAGGATCGGCAGGTTAGTTGTCATTACGGCGACAAAGGCTTCGCGAGTGCCCCAGCTTCCGGCGAGCTCGGCTCCATGAACGGGATCCTACATGCAGAAGTTAGGTTATAGTACTAGAGAAACCAGCTCTACCAGGGGACGTACCACAAGGACGAAAACACTCTTCAAGGTTGCGCAGACGAGTACAAAGATACCGGCTCCAAGCACAATCGTAGAAGCTATCTTCTTGATCATTTTCAAGCTCGATCCCCAAAGCATGGGGAGTGGAATTGCGATAAGATAGATATCAGTTGATATATTGGCTGCAAATGAGACCCAAACAATGGGCTTGGAGATGGCCGGTTGACACGAGTCTAGAATCAAGGGTCAGCACAACACCTGTGGTATCAAGACTGTAATACTCACTACCAGGACCCGGGTTGATCTGCCAGTACTTGTGAAAAGGCCGACAGCCAGCAAATATGGCTATCATGGTCGCGATGAAAGTGCCGATGACAAGGCCAAAACCCACGTATATCCGGATGCGATAAGGTCGGCCAAGCCCCGTCTGGTCAATGTTAGATGAGTTTCTTTGTGATTAGTTTGGGTCATTTCTTACCGTCAGACGAGTGTAGAAGTATAACATGGACAACTTCAAGGACCAAATAAGAGCAGAGTATATGGTCCAGCCGGCAACCTGGATCTTGGAGCCAATTATCCTGGACATTTCAGTAAGTAACTTGTCGGATGATGGATGATACTAAACCACGAACCTGAAGTCATATTCTGGATCGCTAGGTAGCAATGCCGCTCGCTGAGCATCCGTCATTCCATTGTTTGCGAGACCATGGGCAAGGATCCCGATGTTGTATGCAAGGGTTGTCTGTATTGTGTAAAAGGCCTGATCAAGTCAATATCCAACCAGTGACCACAGTGCTTGATGGGAACTCACAATAGAAATGGCCATGAGATAATCTTCAGCCTGAAGACTTCTCAAGCCATCCACTCTCATACGAGCATAAAACCTGAGGATTGTCGAAGCGACGCCGACCGCATACAGCGTCCAACCTTCGACAACAGGGTCTGACATCTTCAGAACCAACAAAGGTATCAGAAGCAAAAGGAAAGAAGAGAGAAAGAACAAAGATCAGCGGCCCATGGGCCCGGGTCCTGGACACTTCGCCCCATAAGTAAGCAGGTAGACTAGGGGCCTGTATGCACAGAACATTTTTCCTTTCCACTGAATCACAAGCTTCCCAGAATCTGCACCCCTGAGATTCGTCTGCACATGCCGCCAAGAAGTCTTAGCAAAAGGTGTCATAAACAACTTCTCTGATGGCCTGCTAAGTTAGAGCAAGTTTACCTAATTCATTTTGTCATCTGGGACAGGACCTGGGTTTCTTGCCTCCCCTGGCCATGCTAGACATGCAATGTTCAGTTGGATGGTGCTCGGGGATAGCTGGGAATATTGGGGACCGAGCCGTACCTGACACTAAGCAGTGGCAGGGCAAAGTCTGGCTAGCTCGTGAAGAAAATGACGCGCCAAGAGTTGAACAGTAAAGCCTGTGATACGGCAAGCTACGGTTGAGAACGCCACGCACGTAATGAGAAATAACCATATTCCTTCGACCTACTGTAATTTGTTTGAGATGTTCTCTTTTGGCGGCATGCTTACAATATCTCAGTGAAATCAGAGGTGGCGCTGTCGATGCTACCTCGACATCTGGGGAGATGTTAGAGATGCTCTGTTACAGTCTCAGATCCGATTTCCACTTCTGACAACACCTCACTTCGACGATCATTTCTTCTTCGTTCTTAGCATTCGGTCTATTCACGAGACAAAAGGTCCCAATACCCACTGGCCTTCGGAAGCCTCGGTAGGCCTCCTACAAATCGATGCTGATGGCTCTAAGATTGCGCTCAGATCATATCCAGGAACCCGATTGGACAATTGCACCTTTGGGATCAGCACCCAGGGAATAAACCCCCGAAATAAATACTGGGTTTCAGTTAAAAGTCAGGGATTTTCCGCGCCGGTACCATTTCCGTGGGTACTAAAATGGATCCATCTCCGCGCTATGACTTTGGGATATTCGATCGGGTCGTACCAAAATCTCCGTTATTCTGAGAAGGTGGAGGACCTAACATGCAGGCTGCTGAACGAAGAAGGTGGTTATGGATATTGGCAAGGATATTAGAAATGATTTCCCTTTTTCTTGTCAAAACTCGGCTGCAGGAACAAGTTAGGGGAATTTGTCAGGGATTGTCTTTTCGGTGTAATGTTGGCCGATGGCAGACAGGAAGAAAAAGGCGAACCAGGCAGGTTAAATATGCACTTGGTCCTCGTCGATCCCTTATCTGGAAGGGGTCTTTGATCTAAGGGTCCAAGTTGTGTCTTGCATTTGCACGTGGTTTCTTATAATGCATTTCTCAAGTAAAGTCTTTGCTGCGTTGGCAGCTTGGAGTACCGCAGTCACATGCGCGACAACTCCTTTTGCTCGTAGCGATGCCATTGGGACATGTTCTGAAGACCTGAGCCAACTTGGTAAGAAGTTATCTAAGTCGGCCAAGGTCTACTGTCCTGGATCTGCCGAGTTTGAGAAGGCTACCACTCGTTGGTCCGTTCTGGAAGCCCCCAAGGTCAACATTGTTGTTGTTCCTGGTACAGAAAGGGATGTAGCTACGACTGTAAGTGTTTCTTAACTAATCGCTGATGAGAAGTGCTAATGACTGCTTCTCAAGGTCAAATATGCCAACTCCAAGAACCTCCCTTTCCTCGCCTACAACACTGCTCATGGAGCCATCACCACTTTGGGTCGCATGGACCATGGTATTGAGATTTATCTCCGCCAGCTGAACAAGGTCGAGGTCGCTGCTGACGGCAAGACGGTCACAATTGGTGGCGGCACAAGGTCCAAAGAAGTCACCGACACACTTTGGGCTGCCAACAAGCAAACCGGTACGCTTTGATGTTTTCCTCTGGCCAACGATGACGTGCTAACCACTGCCAGTGACCGGAACATGTGAGTGCGTTAGCTATATGGGTCCAGGCCTTGGTGGTGGACATGGCTGGCTCCAAGGCCATCACGGTATCATCGCAGATCAGTGGGTCTCGCTCAACATTGTCTTGGCTGATGGATCGTTCAAGACCATCAACAAGAAGTCCGATCTCTGGTGGGCCCTCAAGGGCGCTGGCCACAACTTTGGTATTGTGACTTCTATCACTTCCAAGGTGTATGAGATCCAGCACCGAGACTGGGCCATCGAGACACTTGTTTTCAGTGGCGAGCACGTCGAGAAGTTGTATCATACCGCCAATGAGCATCTCCTTCGGAAGCAGCCTGAGGGCGTCATTAACTGGTCCTACTGGGTCCATGACCCTACTGCGGACCCCGAAAACGTAAGTTTATATCCCTCATCCATTGTTTTGGTCTAACGTTAAGGTTACCGTTTGCAGCCTGTCATCCTCTTCTGGCTCATCCAAGAAGGCGTGAAGAGCATCGATCCCAAGATCTCTAAGCCTTTTCACGATCTGAAGCCCATTGCTATCTCTCCTGAGTCTGGAGACTACCGTGATCTTGCCAAGTGGACACAAATCGATGTCGATGCTGTCCCATGCCAGAAGAATGGTCTTGTCAACCCCCGCTTCCCTCTCTACCTTCAGGAGTACAATGTCCCCGCCATGAAGAACGCATGGAATGTCTTTGCCAAAGAGACGGGGCCTGATACTCCTTTCAATACTTCCATCTTCATGTTTGAGGGTTACTCCACCCAGGCCGTTCGAGGCACTAATGCCAAGAGTGCTGCCTTCGCCTTCCGTCATGAGAACATCCTCACTGCTCCCTTGATTACATACAAACCTGGAGATGTTGAGCTTGACAAGAAGGCCGCCTCTGTCGGTAATGAGTTGCGCCATATTCTCCACAGAGCTTCTGGCCAGTACCACATGAGCGTTTATGTCAACTACGCTTTTGGCAATGAAAACCCAATCAGCTGGTATGGAAAGGAGAACTGGCGGCAAGAGCGTCTGAAGAGTCTGAAGAACAAGTATGACCCCAAAGGAAAGTTCAGCTTCTTCGGTCCTGTGGCATAAGAGACGACTTGCCGAAGTCAGGAGTTGAGGCATTGTCCGCATATCGCCGTCTATCTATAAACCATATTTAATCTTAAATAGAATTCATTCATTCATCTTATTCGAATCACTTTTGATTTAACTCTCTCTATCATTGGTGTACCTGTGCTTCTCTTACCATGAATGGAGCGGCTTCAACCTGCTTTTCTGTCAGCCTGCAACTGTAGAAGTCTACAGCCCGAGCCTCTACGCAAAGGTTCGTTTTTGGTAGGTAGGATAAGCGCTGTCCCAACTCACAACTTGTCATGAGGTGGCTAACGCTGAAAATAGCGCCCTATGCAAGGAATGATGACCAAAGCGCTCCAAATCCTGCCACCAGCTAAGAATTGGCCCCCAACCGGGACGCAGGACTGCGGTTTTCTGGCCATTTGTGGGGGCCTAACAATGAGACTGATAAGATCAAGCGGCCGACAACCTGAGATCCTCCAGACCTCAGTCAACCAAAGATCGACGGGAACAATCGGGGGTAGAGATGGTTGCCTTGATGCATATAAGATTTGAAATAAGGCTGGCGCTTACAAGACTTAAACCGTACCAGAAGCCCGGACCTTGTGCTACTAAAAACGGGAATAAGGCCTGATCTGGCTAAGCGATTCTGATCCTTCAAACCGCTGGACAGGGTTTAGTGGTCAGCAGAGAGATTTATTGGTCCTCGCTGTGAGAGATATGGATAAGGTGTTTCCATAAGCAAAAAAGCTGAAGCAAACCCTGCATCTTCATTTGGGGGCCGTGGTGATGTCGAAAATAACCAGAGTAGCATTGCGAATCTCACTGCATTACTTCAGTGTGAGGGAAAGGCTTTTTTCTTGAGGCTGTTGGGATGCCAAGTTGTCAGCGTAGCATTTGTCTCAGGGTGGTGGTGATGGAGGTTGAAAAAGCACAAATTTGAGAGCCTTATGAGGACGTACGTTGTCTCCTGTTCAAGACCCCTATATAACTGCGCGCCATCAAAGATGTGAACGCGTGTTTTCTACCTTTTGCTATCATCGGTAAACAGTGTTCGAGTAGCTAGAGACTCCTCACAATCTTTCCAAAGACCAAGGGACGACCTCCTCGCCAAGATGTTCAGGTTAGCTCTTCCAGCCCTATCACAATTGACTCCCCCACTTCATCTTGGCAGCATCCTCCTTCGGCAATCTCAAATTCCAAGGACTAACAACATGGTCTTGACAGTCAAAAGCCCAAAAAGCCAGTTGCCGGCAACAAAGGCCCAGCTGCTCCCGCACAACGCCCTCCGGCCGGACGTCCTCCAGCTGGCCGACCTGCCCAACAACCCGCCCAGAGACCAGCTCAACCTACCCAACGACCTCAGCCCGCTCAGCGACCGTCACAGCCTGCCCAGAGGCCTGCTCAACGCCCGGCCGGTTATCAACCGGTGACTGCTCCGAGACCAGTTGCAGGTGCTCCTGTCGTCGGAAGACAGCCTGCTCCCAATCATGGAATGCAGATGACCCAAATGAAGAAACCGCAACAAGCTGCTCGCCCTCCAGCCAAGAAGCCAGCACCCGCTCAAGGGCAGAAAGCTGGACTACCAAAAGGTCATTCTCCGCAAGGTGGAGGCCGGCCAGTCCAAAGGGCTGGACCTGCATTAGTTCAAAGCTATCATCCCGGCCATCCTCAACAGGCTCACCCCCAACAAAGCCACAAGAAGAGCTCGTCAAACATGAAGTATGCAGCTGGGGGTGCTGTCGTCGGTGCGGCTGGTGCTGGAGCAGCTATGTATTACCTGAACAACGATTCAAACGAGCCCACCTACGTGATCAACAACTACGACAACAGTCAGGGCCCAGAGAACATCACCTATACTCAGTATAACCAATATGAAGGTGACTATATAGACAATGGAGACTATCGGTATGACAGCGATGGAGATCGTCAATACTCTCCAAACAGTCCAGACGATGATAACCGCTACTACGATAATGATCAAGGTCAGTACGCAAATGACACAAACTACGGCAACCAATACGACAATGATCAGGTGGATACGTCGTACGATGCCACAAGATACGAACAACCAAGTGACCAGCAAGACTATTCTGATGGGAACAACAATGGTGGCGACAGTGGTAACGATGATTGTTGTGGCTGCGACAATTGCTGCGAATGTGATAACTGTTGCGACTGCGATGGCTGTTGCGGGTGCTGCGGTGACGACAATGGCAAAGACGGTGGCGGAGGATGCGTTGTAATGTAATGTAATTTTTCTCGGAATAGATAGATGACGGGTTCTACTGTATACGTTAGTTGCAGCTTAGCGATAATTTGTTTTCATGACACTTGTCTAATGGCATTGAGGTATAAGGTAAGGTGAGACGAGGACGTGATCGTGGACAGTTAGTCAATAAACAATAGCATGTAGCACGACTTGCTTAGTTTTGCCAGGTGTGACCAAAAAAAAAAAGTCGCATGGCATACCAATGGCAGCGTCGCAATCGACAAAAAAAAAAAAAAGATGTTTCCATGCTACGAAAAAGAGGCAAAAATGTCAAAAGGATTGTCCGCTGTGAGGTTCGAACTCACGACCTTTGGATCACTCTGACCTAGGATCAGATCACAATCTAATATGAGACCAACGCTCTAACCAACTGAGCCAAGCAGACTGTGCTAATTGGATACCCGTCAAAGCTTCGTCGGTGCTCATCAACGGAATGGGGTACCATTTCCTGCAAGGGCTAGACCAACAGTGCAACACCTACCAACCACGGATTAGCTGTTCACTAGTCCAGATATCTATGTCGAGACTCATTGATGGGTGATCATTCGTGTATAAGTATAATAATCTTTACATCAGTAAAATTAGTTCGCCATTCATTGGGACGTACTGGGGTCTCGGGATTTACGGTTGAAATAACTGCGTGAAAACGCTAGGTATTCATTAAGAAAGTAACTATTATACAGCCAAAGTCTTCCCATGCCCGATACCCTTTGAACTAAATCCCAGACCTAACCTCCGACGCCTTGCTTTCGAACCGTATCTCGCTGGAAGTCCTCGACTCTGAGACAGTGGCCTTTGAAGCATTCTCATATGCAACCTGAACATTCGTAGTCCGCATAATTCCGTTATATGTCATGATCTCTTCCTCAGATCCGGTTGGTGAAACACTGCGAATCTCAGTATGTTGGGTTCGCGAAACTCGAAGGTCTTTTAGACGAATGTCATCGTGGTTATGTGATCGCATTCCACCTGTTCCGCGGGAATTGTTGGCATATCGGCCGCCGTATGGAGTTCCAGATGGTGCGTCTGAGCTTCCTCCAAAGAGAGCAGGAAACCATCGTCGGAAAAGCGGTCGGAGAGCAGGGACCGATGCGCAGATGATGGCAAGGTTCGTTTCGACGGCACCCCAGACGGGAAGGACGGAGTAGAAGGTGTCTTCGCCGGGACTCGGCCCCTGGACGAGTTGGTGATAGATGGAGATGACGCGGATGATGCCAATGATACCGACTCTAGATAATGTTAGCATCGATCTCGCGAAGCTGTAGACGCTGCTTACACGCTACCCAACAAAAACACACTCAGGACAGCAATCTTGGTCGCCCATCGCATGGTCAAGCCAAGGAAAATCCAGAAAGGGAGCGCGACAACCAGGAAGTCTGTCACGATTGTGATGCAAGATGCAATGACATGGAACCAGTTATTGACACAATGAACGCCAGGTTCCTTTCGCAGGGGAAAGTCCCAATTAGCCTCAATGGGCCAGCATTGGAAGAGAGCTGTGAAGAAGATGGCTACGGCATGCGCAGCATTGAAGACATTGAGCCCGTATATGGCGTATCGCACGTTGGTTTTATGGCCACCCAAGCGAAGGAGGAACACTAGAATCGAGGCCTTGACGAGTGCCAAGACGGGATTGTAGAACATCTGCACGAGAAAGTTCCACCAGAAGCCAGCCGCAAGATTGAGGTCTTTTGGGACATCCCGCTCGTGGAATCCCCAGTAATTGAGCTTCATAACTGTATAATTGTCAGCAAAGGGGTTACTCTGGTGCAATAAGATTCAAGTCCACGTACACATGTAAAGAGGTCCAATCATCATCAAGGCAAAGAACTGTAGATGTTAGATCAACACCAGGACATGAAGATGCATCAAACTTACCAAAGCTGCCAGCACGAGCCAGTCATCTATCAAAGATAAGCTTTCAGTATTGGTTACACTGACCATGAGAGAGACTCACCTAATCCAACTGTCCGTGAGGTCACGCGACTGTACATGCGCATAGACACAATGATGATCGATAAAGCCGGAAAGATGAAAAGCGCAGCTAGGCCCTTTTGCTGAAGAGGAGTCGTAGGAAGACTCAAAGGATTAGGATAGGGCGGTGGCCCTGTTCGAGTGTATAGATGTAATGAGGCCATCGTGAATGTCAAACCAACATAAAAGAGATGGTATGTAAAAAGTATGGCGGTGCAGAGTTTGCAGCAAGGGACGTCAAGGGACACTAGAAAGATTGACGCAGACTCGATGTGACCGCTGATCCGGGCAAAGACGGCCGCTGCGATCGATCGTCCCTCTGTGTGTACATGTAACAGGACGAACCAGGGGGGAACCGCTGACACGGTATTGGCACAAGATGAAGACGATCGCTTAGATGGGGCCCTTCAGATTTATGTATAGTAGATATCCAGGGGAGCCCAGAAACGCAGAATCTTGGATGAAGAACGCGGAGACCAATAAAACAGGATGAGAAACAGAGTTCATGAGGATTGTCACCCAAGTGACCCAACATGGTCAGCATGGTCCGTGGTTTGGGAGCTGAACCACCATCTCTTGGTGCTCCGAGTAAGACGAGTTCCTGGTTCCTGGACTGCACAATACTGCGTTGTTCATGTACGATTACGAAAGGGGAAAGTGATTGCCGGCATATCTCAGCGCGTCTGGTTCTGGAAACAAGGAATTGTATGTCAACTACCGGTAATTCAGCTACTTGTGTGTCACACGTCCCGTGTGCGGTTGGACTGAAGGACTGCTAAGGTTTTCTGTGCCGCAGAGGCTTCCGGTACGATTTCCGGTGTTCCGCCAAGAACGTGTATTGTTTCCCCCTCAGCTGTGTTTTCGATCATGCATGTTGGTTGTTGAAGAATCCAAAGTAGAAATGATGGAACATTGTGGCTTGCAACTAAACAGGCGTTGATGCCCAAGGCTTCCGGTGGTGGCTGAAACTAGGCTGTCAACAACTTGTTTTCAGGACGAGGCATGACGCCTTCGCTAGATCCTGTTGGAAGCCTCCCACACAATTCATTTCGATACCATACACGAACTACTCGTTGTGATGTATTCAAGCATTATAAATTGGGAGGGTGAACTAATTACGTTAACCCAGAGCAACGGTTGGGTGATATGTGATTAGGTTCAGGCTAGATCTCTTAGCATTTCCTTCAACGGCGAGGATCAGCATTCGCGCGATTTTCTTGAACAATCTCGAAGGACCAACGTACATATGCATGAATGAACGTAGCATGCATCTCTAAGGGATGGATGATGGCTGGACCCTGAGCATGTTTTGACCGAGCACCGCTAAGGGCCAGGGGAGTAAGAGACTTGGAACTATAATTCCAACTGACAGAAATGCTTAGGCCACTTTAGGATGAGTTTAGGCTGGTTTAGTATAATTTAGACAAGTTTTGATCAGTTATTTCTTGCATCTTGAGAGATGGCATTGTGCTTTTTCTGCTTCCCAGGGCTTGTTGCTGCTCTAGCTCCATCACAAAGACACTACCGAGATGCTCACATCTACCCCGGATCCCCGACCCTTGCCAAGAGTGCCAGCCAGTCGAATGGCCCGGAAGGCTGAACGATGATCCTTCGCTTGTCTCAGCTAAATGATAATCCGTTGATCTTTTCTCCATGGAGATTGCCATCATCTTTTAGCACGAAATTTTACGAAGCCGATCCCACTCTGACAAAGATTCTCAACCAACAGCCGCTCAACTTTGAGTTCTCGCTTCACTTGATCGCCAGGATCATGAACTTTGTCGGTCTTGAATGCCCAGCCTGTACAATTTGTCCGTCCGCGGGGTCCCGCTCCAATCACCTTTAGAATATGTCATGGACTATTCTAGTCTGACGGGAAGCGGCTTCGACCCGAATGCGCTCCAATTGAGGGTTATGCATAATGTAACAGTAATTCTACGCCAAGGTCAGAAATCGACCATCATTTCCACATATAGAGGGACCCTTGACCCTTGACTCTTGGAGCGACGAGAAGCCGCATCCCCGCGGCGGCTGAAAGAAATGGCGCCAGTGGGATGAGAAGCGCCCGCACAATCGGCACAGATTTTGACAGGAAATCGGGGTTCAGATGCTTCCGATATGTATGATATTCTCTCCTCTCTCGACGGCAATGCCTCGCGGCTCTTACTCCACCGTCGCCACCGCACTCCATCGTCGAGCATGGATATCTTTCGGCCCATGAACCTGAGCATCAAGGTGATTACTACCTAATACGTGCTAAACACCGCCAACTCACGTACGTACTTCTGTAGGATTGCAGTAGTAGCATAAGAACTAGTGTTCGATATATAGACGGCATAGAAAGCCATGTGGCATAAGCCGATCTCTCCCCTTTCCCTCTCTTTTCTCCCCCAACCCTCTCGAGTCCTTGGCGTTCTGTCCCGTCCCTGCAGTCAGCCTCAAAACTTTACAAGATGCAAGGCTCTCACATTTCGTGGCTGATTGCCGCGCTTGTTCCTTTCACCCTTGCTCAGACGATCGAAGTCGATGGCAAGACGGTCCGTACGTAACACCTTCGCCTGCAGATGTGTTTTTCTTTTGCTCTCATAAACCATTGCTGATCTGAAACATGGGGTAGCGGCCAACAAGAACAATGTTGCCCCTGCGTGGTCTGAGCCACCGGCTGCATCGTCGAGGTATTCTTTTGTCGATGATAGCCCTCGGCTGACCGATGCCGTGCTCACCAACCTCACGGACCTCAATCTCAGTGACGTCGATCTCTTCTACTTTGCTGATACCAAAGGTTCCAAGAAGAGGTCTGCTGCTGTTGACTCCAAGTGCAAGGTCTTCCCTGGTGACAAGCTTTACCCCAACAAACTCATATGGAAGGTCTTTGATCTCCTCAGCGGAGGTGCCCTCATCAGCACAGTTCCCCTTGGCTCTGCCTGCTACAAAGGAGAGCATTACAACAAGGAGAAGTGTACCTTCCTTCTCTCCAACTGGCACAATTCAACCACTCAGTGAGTTTCATCCTCAGTGGTACCATCTCATACATGCATCAAACTGACATCTCCAAGCATCGATGATCCCACTTCGGTCATGTCACCCCTGTTCGAGGGTGCCACCTGCGAGCCTGAGAACGCCGCTTCAGGCTCCAAGTGTACCATTGGTGGCTTCCCTCTGTACTCTATCAAGGCCACTTGTGTTGCCCATATCCAGCTCGCCGTCAACTTTGCTCGCAACCTCAACCTCCGTCTTGTCGTTCACAACACTGGCCATGACTTCCTTGGCAAGAGCACCGGTGCTGGTGCCTTGAGCATCTGGACACATCACCTCAAGGATATCAAGTTCACCAAGAACTACCGTGGTGCTAGCAGCTATACTGGCCCTGCCTTCAAGATTGGTGCTGGTATCCAAGTCAAGGACCTGTAC